GTTTGAACTGAAGTATTTAGCGTGATAAATTAATTGAGTTGTTATCGTTTAATCGTAAACTGACGACTGTATTTGGGCAGTTTCGCTCTCTATCACCGAACAGTGTACACTGGGTGTTTGATGCATTTATGTAATGAAAGGATTGAAAGCTGATGAGGTTTTATGTTCGTAGAGCTATGATTGGATAGATGCTTTTAGTTGTTTGCTGTAGCGAGTGGATGTATTTATTGCTGAAGGGAATATTCTCAATAGGTGAGCATTGCAGAGTGAAGCGATACAATCGAAAATGTCAACAAAAAGTGACTATGAACGTGCGAGGGGTGGTAAGCTGAAGCTCAAGGGGAATAAAACACTGTCAGTTAATTAAATCATCAAACTTTTCTTCATCAGTCGAATACGAGATCTGCAGTCTTGTCCATTTCAAATTAATTTAATGTGTTGCGATAGGAACAACTGGAATGTCATTTGTTCTTGTGATAGTCTGACATTTGCAATTAAACTTTCGGGTTATGAGCGAATCGCTTCCTAACTCAACAAGCCCATCTTTAATGGAATCGTTGGAAAGACAACAGTATTCTTTATAATAATAGTAGAAGCCGTTATTATTATTATTATGACTGTTTTTAGATTCAAAGCAGATAAAACGAAGAGAAAAAAGACCGTCAAAAACACTGAGAAGCAAATAGATCCAGATATAACTGCTCATGGTATATCTCCTTTGTTTTGTTACATTGCTTTCATAGGACAGAGACGAGGTTGGCTTTGATTGTTCAGACGCCGAACTAATTTAGGTGGTTGGCGTCGAATCAAAGAAGAAAGTGAATTGACCGGTGGTATAAGCATTGCACTGGAGTGTGGTAATGGTTCTAACTGTTATCTGGCTGCGTTGGACAACGGTCGATTCACGATTGGTGGGCCGCATTTGAACGGGGAATCACCAAATCCTGAGGAGGTGGGTGTGCTTATTATTGAGTTCTAGTATTAGTTTCTGTGAAATAACGCTATTGTGAGTTTCATATTATCAGCTTTCAGATAATG